ACGCGATGACATCATCGTCCCCCCAGCAAGCTCCGAAATGGTGACGTCATCGGCCGAAATTACAACTGCTAATATCTCGAAAACAAAAGCTGCACAAACGACAGTTTTTACTGCACAAACCTGCACGAACGGAGCACTAACGACCTAGCCCACTTTGGTTTGTTTTTGGAGCGATATGGGGTGATGGTGAACTCTAGATGACCAAAAAATATAAAATTTAATATCTCGGAAACCAAAACTGCACAAACGACACTTTTAACGGCACAAACCTGCACAAATGGAGCACTAACGATTCTGACTATTTGAAGGATTTTTTGACGTGGGTGGGGTGTCAGCTTCACACAGCTCGAGATGGGGTTAATTTACCTTTTGAAAGCTGCTACGCTAATATACTTTTTATTTATATTAAAGTGTGATATTTACTGTTTGCATCTACCTTTAAAACATGCTAAATACAGACACTAAAATAAAAAGGTTTCAAGGTTTGATAACTAACCCTGCAGGTGCAAAATGATTTTATCTGCATATCCTCCTCCCAGTATTTTGTGTGTTTTCTCTGCTAATCATCATATTCTGTATATTCATGTAGGCAAATGCTCTAAATCTATTGCGGCTGCTGTTTTGCTCATCTGACAGACAAACTTGCAAAACTCAAATTTGCAAGTCTTAATTGTTGCTAATTGTTGATAAAGTGACCCCATAGTGTGCTGTAGTACAAAAGAAACAAGAGGAAACTTCAAGGAAAACTCACCCTCACTTTACAGCTTTCAATCAAGTACTGAGCCATTGACTTGATTAAAGCTTCAAAGAAATACCAGGAGTACTGCCGAGGACAAACATCCGTCAGAAAACAACAGAGAAGGAGCTTATTGTCAATTGTGTGTTCATAAATAAAAAAAGAAAATACCTTGAGCAGCTTGTTACACGTTAGGAAGTCAGTGGAGGGTTTCAGGATTGCGGTCATGGCTTTCGCCAACTCTTCATGCACAGTTCGGGTGGTTGAGGAAGAGTACGGCTCGGTCTTAAATACATACTGAATCATCCAGAACAGACAGGTTATCTCTCTAGCACAGGAAAACAAATAAAGGTACACGTGACACTTGGGTGAATTTTACCTTCACATAAGAGCGAAGGTAGTGCTCCAAGCCCTCCTCGTGGCACTGGGCCACAACGTGAATCATGACTCTAACAAAGACAAACACAAAGAAAAAGAGACAATCAACATCTTGGTCAAAACATCCAAAGCTCGTGATTATTATTTTACACATTAATACTGATTGGAATATTAGATTAGACATAAATCTGTAAAACAAAGTGAAGTTTAAAAGGTTGAACAGCCACGAGTAGGACATGCCTGGTGACGTTCACTGTGACGTCCTCTTGTGTGTTACTGGTCAGGACCCTGAACAGCTGATTGAGGATGGTTGGCAAAAACTTGATCATCACATGACCCTCCATGGCATGCAAACTCTGAGGGTAAAAAAACAACCGAAGACTTAAAAAATAAAAGAAAATTAAAAGAATAAAAGCACAAAACATTAAGCTGATAAAGTATTTGATGAAGTCCAGTAGCAGACTAGACTGTTAGTCACTCATAGGATGCTGCAGCGCCTAGACAATTCAGTTACCCATGCCATACAGGAAGTTAGCATGAGCCTGACCTGTTGGAGCCTCTGCTTATTGTTCATGTTCACTGCTGTGTTTACATTAAAACCCTGTGGACCAAAAACTGCTTTCTGTGGCCATCACCAGGGGAGCAGTACACGGATATAACCATGAAGTAATAATGAGTACTGTGTAAAGCAGATAGCTATAAAAAAGAAAAAAATATTAGGCTATCCAAGATGACAGATTTATATCAAGCTTGACCTCTAAAAAAGAAAAAGTTCTGCACAAACTATTGGGAAGATTGTGCTTCTGACGAACCACAAAGCAGATAAAATATACTATAGTTTAACTGTCTAAGCCAGAGGTCTTAAATGACGGGGACGTGACAATCCTAAACATCGTATAAAAATTTTTATTACTTTTTTTAGAAAGTCATGTCTTTAAACACACATTGAATCCAACATGTAGCAAATTGATCAATGGAAGCATAAAATAATATATTTCAGTCAAAAATGAACATACTGGGCAGGTCATGCTGGTGCGGTCACTTTGTCAGGTTCACATTAAATTGGCTGAAAATTAATGCTGTAATTTTTGCAATATTTCTACAACACTGCAGCTCCTAATAATAACAGTCCACAACTAACGTCAGTGCAGTTATTTGTCCCAGGTTAAAATATCCAAAATATTGATTCTGGATAAAAAGAAAGCTCTTCTGGATGTCTGCAGTGTTTGTTTTTGACAATATGAATACTGGATGTCAGCAATACAGATCCATTCTGAACAGCAATTAAACCTAGTACAGAWAGTAAGAATATTTGTGTTTGGTAGATTATTTCTTTGTTGTAACAATGCTTCTTGACAATAAATCTGATAGTGGGCACCTGATTGGCAGCATCTGGAAGTACCAGAAGCTCAAAACATTGAATCCAATATGTAGCAAATTGATAAATGTATGTTTGTCAATAACAACAACAAAGTAAGCTGTTTGGCAGAGAGGATTTGGAAAATTTTTCACGTGCACAGCTCACATTCTCAGCTCTACTGCTCATGCTACAAATGCATGTTCCTAACAAATGTGGCACCATTCAAAAAGGAGATTAACAGAGTTCCCCATGGTATTAGATTTACTGCCAATACATATATTTATAGGGGTCTTTGTTTCCTCTCTCCATCAGTTTGGGGGTCTCAGACAGAAAAATGTTGAATACCCCTGGTCAAGGGACAAATATGATTTCATAACATATTTGAGCTACAGACTTCATCCAGAGCATTTAAGAGTGAATTTATTCCACACCCTTCGTCTTCATTACTGATGTCACTGYAGCAAAACTTCAATTCTAAACTCATTTTCTACATCAAATCAGAACATGTGTTGCATAATAAAATCATGAAATGTAAATCGTGTGCTGAGATTGGTGTGGGTATGACTTAGTGTAGCGTGTATTTCATTAATTTCTACAAGATGAATTTAACTGCATGACAGTAGAAAGCTCTGTGGTGTGCACACAACACCAGAAATAATAAATACAATCCTTTATTCTGGACTCAATGTGCCGTCACAAAGAGTTTCTGTRTTGTTGTCTGATGTTGTTGCATTGCTGCTGAATTTAAAACACTGTTTAACACAGTCAAAGTTAAAAGTCTTTCACCGCTATCATAATTCATTTATGTCAGGCATTTATGAACATTTAAACAAAGTCAAATTTAWAAAGTAAGTTAGGCTCTGAGGGCTGATTTACCTTCAGGTATTTGACCAGTTCCCCTCCGGACACCTGAGCTGCTGATGCAACACTCTGACAGTGATGGAAGAAGTTGTGCAWATGTTGATCCTGAAACACACACATAAAAAAAAGGTCAGGCACAGACTTTAATTTGAGTGATAAGATGCAGATGAATCAGGATTTTGACTCGGATCAACCTGAGTGTACACAGTGGACACCAGATGAGTGGACACTTTGAATAACGGCTTTCCTCCATCGACCCATTTGATCTCAGGACCCAGATGCTGCAACACGACAAACAGCAGAAGATCGTGTTTTTATCAGAATCGGAACAAAAAGTGCGTGTGACTCAGAAGAAGTTTGCAAGATAGTTTACAACTAGAGATTTATAAATACTTTACAATAAAGTTATTATGTTTTAGACACAAGATAAATTATTAATAAACACTTAGGTCTATTTGTCTCTTCTTAAGCTCCTTTTAGTTTTTACTTGACATTTTTCATGAAATAATTGTTGAATTTARCTTTTATATGTTTTGTGAATTTTAGCTTTAGTTCTGCTTCTAAGTTGCATAATTTAGTTAATATTTTTTATCAGACAAATTTCAGGAGTCACTCGGCTTTTACACTACATTAAAAAAGAAGTTTATCTAGTTTTTAATCATAATAATATTTTGATTTTACACACTTCTGATTTTAGTTTGACTTAGTAACACCTGTTCAGAGACAGCAGATATTAAACAGCCTTTTGGCTCAATCTGGCACAATAACGATATATATTTTTTAAATTAATTTATTTATTTTTATATACACTCATTGTAAAAAAAAAGTTTTCCAGCTAGTTTTTCTGCACTGATGCATTCTTCCATTTGTCAAAATTCTTTTGTTTTTTTTTTTCTGGTAAAATTAAAACTTGAGTTTTGCAGTATTGCTGCTCAGCTTAATTATTTGTATTGTTTGCAACTTGGCTTGTTTTTCTAACTTACAGAGCTCTTCACTAATGTTTAACACTGAAAATAAACATTTAAAGTAGACTTATCCAAGTAAAAATTAGATTTAGGAGTACAGATTACTGTAGGTTTACATTTAGTTAGTTTATTACAATTTCCCTGTGTAGTTTTTGCACTTTAAGTACTTATTAATGATTTTTAAAGCAAGTACAGATTTAATAATTTAATAATCCTATAAGGTTATTCTTATTATAAAACTTTCCTGACCTAACCACCCGTCTGAACACAGTATTTTGCTGTGCTTAAAATAAAACCTGAACTAAGATAAAGCTAAAATTTCACCAGTAAACATAATGAAGTTTGCTCTACCTTGCTGGCTCCCTCCTGACAGCTCAGGTATCCAGCAGGCAGGTTAGCAGCCACAGAGACGTGACTCTCGTTCATGATCACTCGACCATCCTTCAGCAAGGGGAGCCAGGCGTAGCCCACTGACAGTGGATATAAAGGTGTCAGCCTCGGGCTTCATGCCACTGATAAAAACCAAAAAAAAAAAAAAAAAAACGTGCTAAAGTGTGAAAGTTGTGTTTCACCTTGCATCTCCACCACGTCTCGCTTCTTGGTGCTGGCCTTGCTGTTGCTGTCGCAGCTCACGTGGTGGAAGGTGAAGAGCAGGTGATGTTTYTCATGGAGCTGCGTTGGTAACTCAATCTTAAACTAAACCACGAAGCAAAAGAAAAACAAATATTGGATTTTAGGAGTAGGGATGCCGCAGATGGTGGTAATGATTCATTTTAAAAATAAAGAACAAGCGTCTCACTTCATCGTAGAATTCGGGGTTGTTTTGGTGATGTAATACTGAGGTAAAGGCAGTTTTGGTAAACAARGGTCCCCCCGGTCGCCCATAGATGCACTGAGGATTAACAAAAAAAAAGGGGTTGAGTTGCTGCAACCAGCAAAGATACAGTGGGTAAAATAAGTATTGAACACGTCACCATTTTTCTCAGTAAATATATTACTAGAGGTGCTAATG